ATTAATATATATATATATATATATATATATATATATATCGTATATATATATATATGTATATATNTATTGTTATAACACATATATATATATATATCTATATATATATATATATATATATTCATATATATCTGTTTTTACATACATGTATGTGAGGTTATTGTTTGTCCTGATCTGCGGAATAAAAGAAGCTTCTCCTCTTCACACCCTCTCTTTCTGTAAGACTTAATACATCACAAAATTTATATTCCATCCACACCAATATAAATCTGTTCTTGTCTAGAAAGAGAATCTAAAATAGATGAAAGTTAGTGTTGAACCAACGGACCTTTCGGTACATATCAGGCATGTCCGCGTTAGAAATGATGGACAAAAAAATGGACGCAGGGCTCGCCTTTGCCAGCGACGACAACCGCATCCTCTCTGTGGATGATGCGCTTAGGCGGAAGCTCATCAAAACATCTGGCTTTACCCCTGCCGAGCGTGTGGGTATTATGGACGAGGCGTACGCACACCTGGTCACGTGGCTCAAAGGTCACTCTCTGGCTCAAACGGTGTACGAGTGTGTATACTTGCACCGGCCCTCGATGCTGCAGGACGAGGTGCTGGCCACCTTCTTCGTGTCGTTCGAGCGAGTGATTGTGATGATCCTGGAGGTGAGTTGGTGTGATGTGTATGTGTTGTACGTGAATAATTGAGTTTTTTTGTACGTATTCTGGCGATAATGCGTATACTCGTGCTGGCGTTCATGCTGTTCACGCCTGTGTATATCGGTACAGACCTTCTGCACTGGAAGATTTCATGCCTTGTTAGTTATATGTGTATTACGTTGACTGTCAAATCTAGAGGCTGAGTGTTGGTAGGCTCACTGTTGTAGCGCCCAGCGCTGTGTCTGGCGAGAAGCTCACGAGGTCGTCTGTAGTGACCGTTGCATATCTGAATTGTATAAAGAGTGGTACGGGTTGGAAATTAGGATTTCGGAATTTAGGGTTAGGATTAAAGTTTGAGGAATTGTATCCAGTGTAGGAATGGCTGCATGCATACCTTACTTCAAGTTTGTTTAGGCTTTACACTTTTATGCTTTAGGGTTTCGATTTTGTTTAACGTATGGCTCGTCTCTCGATATACGCAATCATGACGAATAAGACTCAATGAAACTCAGATACAGCCAGTGATCACAGAGATTTTATTGGTACAAGTCGGGTAGAAATGTACTGTCAGCAGTATACTATCCAACAACTACTCGCAAACCATATACACACATACATACATAAATACATGAACACACACATATATATATATATATATATATATATATATTATTAAGGTTTCTAAATGATCATGGTATTCGCATATCCTCAGATGCGTACTGTTGTTGTCCAGTTGCTATCCTTCCTTCTGTCGGTCCCTGACATCTCAATTTAACATTTCTGGAGTAGATCGTACAACAGGCGAGTATCTACCATGAAGAGGACTTTCAAGTGCGCAACATCACCCTCCAATCAGACCCGCTGAATCCGGATCAGGTGTGTGCACAAACATGTATGTTTGTATGTGTATGTGTACAAGTATGTATGTTTGTATGTATGTGTGCATGTGTGTAGGTATGTATGTTTGTATGTGTACAAGTATGTATGTCTGTATGTGTGTGTATGCGCACAAATGTGTATGTTTGTATGTGTGCAAGTACATAAATAAGCATACTTGTGTGTTCGCAATGGAATCCGAGAAACCAGCGGTATGCGAAAGGTGTGCCAGATAGTTTATTTTATTTTTAGCACCATGAATCTGGTCTATGAATCTGAGTGGATATTGCGAAAAGAGATTGAAATTGGTCTGTGCATACATTCAAGTGGTGTTTAAACGTACTGTGTTTCGACGTTAAATGACCGAGAAGATTGCCATTGTATGTATTTTATTGTGCGGTATCTGGAGTAAACCCAATGCATTAGCGGGTGGTTTGGTTGCAGCCCATCGGGATGAAGAGGGAAGAGTTCGGAGTTCAATCTAACTAGCAATCTGTGTACATATACAACATTGTGCGGGACATACTTTTGAAACGGATTGCGATCGCAACGTGTTATATCCAGAGCACTGGCCGTACACTCCAGGCCAGAAATTGAATCTGCTTCTTGAATACGTTACAGTATGCAAGCACAAGAGAATGGCGTGTGAGCTATAACTCTAGATGAAGCATAAATACAGCCATACGTATGGCTTATCCGCGGACATTCCATTTGTATCCGTACATACTCCTCAGATACCATCCTTTCCCGAGGCCTTTCAGAATCTGCTGAATCTCGCAACGCAGATGGTGTCACGTCCAGATGAAGGTATGAGCTCACACTGTCATTTAAGTATAGGCACACGCAAGACAATCAAATCATCGCCAACTAACAGGTTAGTCCGAATCTCGTACCAAATCTTGAAGCCACAGTCCTATAACTCAATAGTATCAACCCTATAACTCAATACTAAAAGTATAAACGGTAGAACTCAATATGAAGTATAAACTCTAGAATTCAATACTAAAGTATAGGCACTAGAACTCAATACTAAAGTCTAAACCCCTAGAACTCAAACTAATCCACTGACTCTCCCGCTCATAAGCTCCTACCACCTTCCCTCACGCGCTCTCATCACTGTGTCTTCACAGATGTTGATTCGTCTGTCAGCTGCCGCCTGTCGTTTCTGGCCCATTTCATGGCCTCACTGCACACCATTGCCGTTCCCGCACATCCCTCTGAATACGAACAAACACGTGCACTACACACCAACATCCTCGACCAATGCGAACGAGAGCTACAGCACATGCTACAGACCCGCCCCTTCGGCGTCCAACGCGAAGGAGAAGGGTATAACGTGGGGTTTGTGCCTGCGTTGGCGTACACACAGCTGTCTCCTGGACCGGCTGTGGTGGTGAGTGTGGCGAGTAGAGCGGAGGGCGTGGTGTATCTGGACGGTCTGATGAAGCGACTGCGAGTGGCCTTTAACATGCCCAGACCTGCGAACAAGGCAAGTTACCATAGCAACGACACGTACGCACACCAGGACACTGCGCCGGGCACTACTCACGCGAGTACAGATACAAATACGCAGAAGGGTAACAATGTGAACTACACTGGCGATGCAATGGATGCAGATCCCGCTTTGGCCCATGGGGGCGTACCGCTATTGGTATGGCTCAGGCGGTTTATGGCGGCGTTCAACTCGCTACCGCAGTCGTGTTGTCTCTCGCGCTCTATAGTGTATGGGCTACTGCTCAACGAAGGCCAACTGATGGGCAGTGTGAGTGTACCAGAGGCCATTAAGGAGGAGGTAAATTCGTACATCGAGTCGCCCTATCTGTACCACGCACGGCATTACGCTGAGGGGTTTGTTGGGGAGAAGGACCGCATGCAGACACAGACTGGAGAGGATGAGTATCCACAGATAGGCCAACAGACAGCCCTGGGTGAGACTACAGGTGTCTGTGGAGGAGCAGGTGGCCTTAACGGGTACGCACACGCGGCGGGTATGGGGAGCAGCACAGTCCCAAAAACTTGCCCAGAGGATACGGACCCTGTCCTCAGGCGCAGGGCAGCCGTGGCCGAGGCCGAGGCGGACCGGTTCTTCGCCCGACTGCACCAGCCAATGGTCAATCTCACGAAGATCGGGTGCTTTAATAAGGCCCGTGAGCATCGTGTGTTGGCCCATAAGCTGCGTGTGGTGTCGGACTGGCAGGTAGACGCAGACAAGTGCGATGCCAGAATAAACCTGATCCTGAGGGGCGTGGGTGAAGGTCCGGTGTCAGGTGGAGGTGAGGGGGTGCTCAGAGGGGAGGAGAGGACCAAGGAACCAGAAGCGCAAGAGAGAGAGGTGCAGGGAGATGCGCATGGAATGGGGGTGGTGCATGCACAGCAGGACAGTGCGTGCGAGGGTGCGATAGGGGTCAGTGGCGCCATGGAGGGGAATAGTGACCCCACACAGCAACACACACACAGCCGACAACAGCGAGAATCAGGCGAACAGGGCGAGTGTGGGCAAAAACAAGCACAGGCTGTGGGGAGTACGTGCAAGAGTACAGTAGGAACGAATGCGAATGAGAGCGCGAACACGGATACCAACTCAGGCGCTGGTGCAGGAGGAAGTGTAGGTACTGATTCCGCTCGCACGAGTACTGGTACAACCATAAAGCCAGACACAAACACACACACGAATACCAACACAAACACAAGCACAATTACAAGCACAGATGAGCATGGAGACACTAGCATAGCCACAGAAGGGACGGACCCTCCATTCACGAGCTACCTGGGCTCGTGGGTGTTGTCTGTCAAACTGGAGATGATGGAACGCTATCTCATCGACGGGATACGCCTGGATCTGTTCCTGACCCACGAACTGGGTGTGGTGTACCTGTACTTGGACTATATCTACGGGTGGCAGGTATCCACCAAGGCCATAGCCACCAAGGCGACACAGGACACGTTGCAGGCACGCAGAAGAGAGAGGCAAGAGCGCCGCGACCAGGTTATAGCCGCACGGAACGCACTGAAGGATGGGAATGAGCCAATAAGTGTAGGTAAGGAGACTGGAGTAATAGATGCGAAGGGAGAAGATAGCAAGAAAGATGGTCATAGTGAGCATGAGCAGGAGTTATCTGGCTCGAGAGCCAAGAAACCGGGACAAACCGGGACGGGGAAAAAGAAAAAGAAGAAAAAGAAAAAGAGCGGCGCTGCGAGTACGACTGCGCAGTCGGACGGGCAGGCGACATCCCACGCACCCGATGCGCGCCAAAAAACGATAGGTAAAGTGCCGCAGATACCTACCACAGCGGACCCGGCGGGTGCAGAGTCCAAGGCGGCATTGTCAGACGAGCACATCCGCAATCTCATAGTGGAGGTAAAGCAAGCGCTCGCACGGGCCTTTGCGCGCCTTTTTGAGGGTCTCAGAGGGGCCGAGCGAGTGCAGCTGCCGCTGAAGTATTTTGCACGAGAGGAAGTGCGGTACTTTCATCGGTTCGAGCCGTTCATGTACATCCGCAATCCAGAGTTTCTCGAGTGGGCGTACCTGGAATCAAATATGACGTACAACACACACCCGGTAAGAGGATGGGAATTGAAGTAGCCGTGAGTGAGTGAGTGGGTGGATGTGTGTTGAAGTAGGCGTGTGAGTGTGTGAGTGTCTATGTGTCTTTTAGTAAGTGTGTGAGTGTATGCATGTATCTGAGTGAGTGACTGTGTGTGTGTGTGTGTGTAGAAGTAGGCGCGCGTGCGTGTGTGTGTGTGTGTCTGTTTGAGTGCGTGTGGGGTTGATAGCAAGTAAATCTGTGTACAGGGTACAGTCCTATGGCACGTCATTCTAGCCACCAATTCTGCAGCGTGGTATGACAATGGTAGACATTGCATCTGCACGTACACCCTGTTCTTTCACGTGTGTACTTAAAAATAAACACATATATATATACATATTCATATATATATCTATATCTATATATTTATATATATATATATTGTGATATATATATATATTGTGATATATATCTATATCTATATTTATATATATTGTGATATATGTATATCTATATATATATATTGTGATATCCCCGTAGCTAACCACTTCTACTACGGGGATATCACAAAGCTGCGATCTATGGGTTCGATTCCCCAATTTCCAAAAGTTTTCTGTGATAGCGTGTTGTCGCAGCGCTACTGAGTCCTGGGGACAAGGGGACTTGTGCCTAATAGGTTACAGTTTTGTGATATCCCCGTAGTAGCAAGTTGGTTATCCACTTCTACTACGAGGATATCACTATATATATATATATATATATATGTAAAGAACTAAACTCTCACCCTTACACCTGAAATCCTATTTCTATATCTATCTCACAGGCGAAAGTCATTTTCGAGAACGCGATCAAACTCTTCTCAGTGTGTGCGGAGCATCTCACGATGATCGCCAGCACACTACCCGCACATGGAAGTGCAAAGCCAAACACGCCCAAGCAGACCCACACACCCACACATGCAGATACAAACGCACAAGGAAACACATACACGCATGCACACCTGACAGAGATTAACCAACTACTGCAAGTGGCTAAGAACAACGCAGTTGTGGCGCGACTGCTCGCGGCGGGACATCGCGCCCCGGAAGAGGTGAGTGTGCTGATATTAGCCTGGAATGTAGCAGGGTTTTAGGGTTTACGAATTAGGGTATATACATTATAGAGTTTTGTATGTGTGTGACACGCTTATTTGAGTTGCATTTACACATGGGTGCTTCATGGGTGACTGCCTATGCGAGTGATACGGGTGTGAACGACATAGATACAGAAGAGCCAGTAAGTAAAGGCATGTGTGGAGTGTGCATGCATGATATTGCGAGTGAGGTCTTATGCACATGGACAATGGTAACACGAAATGAACATGTGCAGTGTACATTGTAATATGTTTATGGTCAATACAGAAAGTATCCCTTGGATTGACATTGTTCGAATATATATATATATATATGTATGTATGTATGTATGTATGTATATATATATATATATATATACGTATATATATAATATATATATATATTATATGTATATATATACATATAACGTTTATATTTATATTATAATTATATATAGTTATATATATATATATATATACGTGTGTGGTGTCCATTTTTGACTGATAAGTTTTCTACTTTGGACTAACATACATATTTGTAAATATTATATCTCGTTCAGATATTTTATTCGCAGGTAGAATAATTACAAATATCATCGCATTCCCGTTGTAAGTATGCCTGCTTATCTGTTGTCAGTACACCCGTCAATCAGAATTAAACTCTGACATACAAATATAATCACCTAGTACACCCGTTAGTCAGTGTTACACTCATGACCTGGAATCTATGAATATTAACCAATTAATTATTACACTCATCTAATTGATATCTAAATATGGTTCATGTTTTGCTTTTCAGCCGACGATGGACTTCTCTGTTAACTCGGATTTCCCGCAACTGATCTTCCCGAGGAAAAAGACAGGACCGAAATAGACGTTTATAGTACCAACCAATAAACTTAATCGGCGGAAACACTTCTAATCGTAGGTGCCCGACATAGCGTGTAGACAACCAGGATATAGAATAGCTTACAGACTACCAGTAGGTATACTAGCGTGTATACAACCAGGAGGTAGAATAGCTTACAGGCTACCAGTAGGTATACTAGCGTGTAGACAAGCAAGAGGTAGAATAGCTTATAGACTACCAGTAAGTATAGTAGCTTGTAGACAACCAGGATGTAAAATAGCTTACAGACTACCAGTAGGTATATTATCGTGTTGACAACCAGGAGGTAGAATAGCTTACAGACTACCAGTAGGTATAGTAGCTTGTAGTCAACAAGGAGGTAGAATAGCTTATAGACTACCAGTAGGTATACTAGCGTGTAAACAATCAGTAGGTAGAATAGCTCACAGACTACCAGCAGACAACCAGGAGTTAGAATAGCTTACAGGCTTCCAGTAGGTATACTAGCGTGTATACAACCAAGAGATAGAATAGCTTACAGACTACCAGAGTGTATACTAGCGTGTAGACAACCAGGAGGTAGAATAGCTTACAGACTATCAGTAGGTATACTACCTTGTAGACTACCAGGAGATAGAATAGCTTACAGATACTAGCGTGTAGACAACCAGGAGGTAGAATAGCTTATAGACTATCAGTAGGTATACTAGCTTGTAGACTACCAGGAGATAGAATAGCTTACAGATTAACAGTAGGTATATACTAGCGTGTAGACAACCAGGAGGTAGAATAGCTTATAGACTACCAGTAAGTATAGTAGCTTGTAGACAACCAGGATGTAGAATAGCTTACAGACCACCAGTATGTATATTATCGTGTAGACAACCAGGAGGTAGAATAGCTTATAGACTACCAGTAGTTATACTAGCGTGTAGACAACCAGGAGGTAGAATAGCTTACAGTGTGGTCAGAATACTATGGTACGTAGTTTATTTGATTATTTTAGGTCTATTATAAGTTTTACAGTTTATCAGAATAATCTGATAAACTGGGTTTTAGGGTTTTGCTGTTTTTACAGCACATGACTGTTGACTCATTTTGAGAGTCATTAATCTTAGGATTACTGTTTACAATTAATTATAAATGAACAACGTCCCCCTCCCTGAGGAGGGAGAACGTTGAGATATACTTACTCGACGTGTACTTACTACATTTTTAACTATGCTTTGGAAAGTTGTTAGTTTATTAATAATTGTGAAATAAGCTATTTTATTTAAGCTACTTGATAGTATCAAATTGAAATTTATTAGTTTTTATATGAAGAAAGAACTTTGAATGTAACAGCAGAAGCAAGATGGAGCAGCAAGATGACGAGATCGCTAGAATCTACCGACGGAGGAAGTCGATAGATGCTCTACTAGCAGTGACGCTAGTGCCAGGATGCCGTCCTTGCTGTCAAATAGTGACAGCGGCCCGGTAGAAACACAGAAACCGGGCGAACAGCAGATATAACAGCACCAGTCAAGAGGATCTGAAGGAATCAATCGACGCTTTAGGCTAAGTAGAACTAGTATGGCTAAGCAGTTAGAAAGGTTCAGGCTTTCTCAGCAAGTAGCTATTATTCCTAGAAGGCAGCAAACATTATCAAACAAAGACACTACAACTGAACACGAGGAGCTATCGAAAGAATCGGATGGATCGAACTCAGCAGAACAGGCGCGAAATCAGAAGGTCCGGAGGGATTAAGAAGACAAGGGCTCAGACAAAGAACAAGATAAGTAACAACAATAACTAAGAGTAGTTCTAGTAGTGGTCGAAACTATACGGTTAGAGATACAAGTAGTAGGGCAGTAGTTAAACCAGAACCCTACTATAGACACGTACAGACTAGAAGAACAAGCTTGGTTAGTTAAGACAATTGTTGGAGGTAAAATTTCGTTCGAAACAGGTAAATAGAGTCAGAAAAGGTAGATTTTAGAGTGTTGAACAGATAAATATTTAAGAAAAGATATAAGATAGTAGTGCCTACGTTAGGTAGGGCTAAGAGTGATAACATTCCAAATATTATAGACTCACGCCAGATCTAGACAAAAGCAAACTATAGCAATGTTATTTACACCTTTGTAGAAAGCATGGGGGTAGGAATAAGGATAAACATATCACCTGCACATAGAGGCTTAGAACGAGTAGATTTACAGTAAGCGAGTGGTTTCCGACGAGCTAGCATTCTATTCCAGTCTTTGTAAGAAACTATAGCTCAACACACTCACAGAGAAGTGCTCTACCGAGAGAAGGGCCATGGACGAGAACCAATAACAATCCTAAGAAACATCTGTCTTAGGAGACTTCGGGCGACGGGACGTACGAGGGCAATATTAAGTAGAGTCTAGTTGCATAAGAGAGGGATCGGCAAAGCCAGGAAGGCCTATATGGAGCCATCATGGGTTGCTTACCACGATGGCACATGTTGGAACACGGAAGAATAGATCAGCGACATATGGGGAGCAACACAAGAGCTGAAGAGCCTTCTCAGGAGCAAAAGGAGTTCACTGAAGAGGGATGTGACTCCACCAGAAGAATGGAGAAGCACACAAGGGGGCAGGGTGAACCCCGACGGGTACTAAAACATAAATACATATAACATATGCATTGGCTAAAGACAGGCGCAGGATTCATGGGTGAGTTGATACTGCGGCAAGGGACGAAATATATTGTCTAAGTAAGAATGTCGATATTTGTTGAGAAGGGCGTCGAACCTCTAGGACGGGGAAGTATTTATACCCGAACTATTTTGCGGATGAGTGCTTACATTTCCAACCCTCCATTACATTACATTACATACATATTATGTCCAACACACGTCAAAGCCGCCGACAGCAACGCCTAACCCCTGAACGTCGAGAGGATGATGATATGGACCGGAGAGGGACCAAGCGCTACCAACCTCCAACGAATCATCCCCGCCATCGGTCAGAGACAGGGCGGAGAGATACTCAGGATGACGAGATCCATAACCAGGAAGCAAACTTTGATCGACAGATACCTACGGCAACTAGGGGCGAACCTAGCCTTACATCGGAAGACGTAGCACACAACGACGAGGCCAAGGGAGATTCCGACCTGTGCGCGGACAGGGAACAGTCCATTACTGGTGAACAGGTAGCCAGTAACGGACTGCCTCCTCGTTCGTCTTCGAGTATCTCAGGCGCCTCATCCTCTGTTCACGGGCAACCACGCCTCCCACCTAACAAGCGGAGGCATTATCGCCGTCGCCCCAGCAACAAGGGTACAACGCGGGAGCAGCTGTCAACACAAAAGCTCACCGAGCTCATGGCTCAACAACAATCGCTGTTGGAGAAGTATGAACAAAGATTGCAACGTACGGCTTCGAGAGTGCCCTACGACATTGTTGTCTCCTCACCGCCCATCTAATAGTTCACACAGACAAGGGCAGACAACACGAAGCAGGGAGAACAACCCTACGTTCCGAATACTAGGTATTTCACAACCACATCATGGTCTTGGATACGAGTCACCGGAGTCGGAAGTGTGAATTTTTCAACTCTGTGAAAGTACTCTTTATTTCCTTTTGTACACTGTATTTATACTATTTTTCGTCAAAATTGAACGGCCCTTTCGGCTCGAAAATTTCTTTTGCCAAAGAAATTCCAACGGACGTGCGCGGTCTATTTTTAGATTCCATCTCTAAAAATACAAACACAATTTCTTCAAATACACTTAAACTTCTAAGACTCATAACTCAATGAAAATTCACTCAAACAACTTGAATAAGGTGTCATATGAAAGGAAAAAGCATTTCCTATCAAATGACACCTGTAACAAAATTACACATTTAATAGATCAAACACAATCGGCCTACGAAA